GGACAGGCCTGTGCCAGTCGCCCTGGAGCGGGGCGGCGAGTGGACAGAGGGAAGCCAGCTCATGTGGGGCCTTGCCACGGCCGGCCCGAGTCAAGGGGAGCACCCATGTCCCCGGGGCGGGTTCCCACGCAGAGCACCCGAACTTCCCTAGGTCACGAGCGGAGTGACCCTGCTCAGTTCGCTCTCGGAGGGGGGAGAACTGTGACGTAGTGGGGGTACCTGGCTGGTTTCTATGCTGCTGGCTCTGGGTCTGCTGTCTGGAGCAAGACCCAGCAGGGAAAACCTCATTATGCAAAGGTGATGCCAAACCTGTTGAACCAGACACCCCCCATGGAGAGGAACAAAGGAAGGTGGAATGCTACCCTGGCTGGGGGGCAGGGCTGGAAGAGTGTGGGTTAGTTGCTGTCTGGGAGCATGGAGGAGACAGCCTAGGGAAAGGGGCTGGAGTTTAGGGGCCCAGTCTCCCCCCATCTCAAGGGGGCCTGAGGCATCCTAGCCCAGCTCTGTGACCAGATTACATATGTGCTGTGCTGTATCCTGGAGAGGCAATAAACTTCCTCTATTCCACCGGCTGGTGCAGTCTGGTTGTGCCATTTCGGGGTGCAGGAGACGGGGAACCCCCAACGTGCCGTCACACCACCCTACCACCCTCTTCTTGGGCACAGGCCTTTCATATCTTTGTCTTGAGGGATATCCTAATCACAGCAAACCAGAGAGAGATCGAAATGACATGGCCACCCCTACCAGCTCCATCTTAATTCCAGCCATCACTCGAGAGGAAATGGGATTAGTCTACAACATCAGAAGCAACTCCAGCCCAACTCAACTACTTTCTCTTTTCTCCAAAATGTATTAATGTTACCATCTTTGATACCATTTAAGAGAGACAGTTAAACACAGGGTGTTTTCCTTCTAAAACTCTTTTCAGCTAAAGGGGAAGGGAACAAAAACTTTTGTTAAACAGAAAACCTCACTTAATCTGTAATAAAAGATTAAAAAGATATTTAATGATGTGTTTGCCTGGATACTAAGAAGGCTGAGGTCTCTGTATACAAACCCCAGACCGTGTTTAACACTGTTTAATACTGAACAGTAACTGGGTTAATGTTAATTTAGATTATATAAACAGGGCAAATATGTTAATACCGTAGGACCCACCACTTGGGAAACACTGTGCTATTAATAATTTGCTACATAAGTATCGCTTAGATTGGACATTAGGTTGGACATTAGGAAAAAGTTCCTAACTGTCAGGGTAGTCAAACACTGGCAGAAATTGCCCAGGGAGGTTGTGGAATCTCCATCTCTGGAGATATTTAAGAGTAGATTAGATAAATGTCTATCAGGGATGGTCTAGACAGTATTTGGTCCTGCCATGAGGGCAGGGGAGTGGACTTGATGACCTCTCGAGGTCCCTTCCAGTGCTAGTATTCTATGATTCTATGACATGGCCAGATTCCTGCCAGCTGACTGGACATGGCTGGCAGCCCAGTTAGCTGGTTACCCAATAAGCATTCTGGAAAACCTAATGCTTACTTGGTAACTGGTTAAATCTTTTACATGCCTAAAATCAATAAGATGAAATTCTGTGCAGACGTGCAAACTACTAAACCTTAGAAGGAAAAATCAAAATTGGGAATAAGTGGCTACGCAGTGGAACTGCAGAAAAAGTTCGGGGGTTTATAGTGGACCATAAAATAAATGAGCCACAATTGTAATGCTGTTATGAACACAACAAATATTATGGCGAGTTTATTAACAAGAGTATTGTCAGTAAGAAATCACTTTCCATGTCTTCTGCTCTGCCTGACAATGGTAAGGCCTCACATGGAGTAGTGTGTCCAATTTTGTTCATACTAAGATATGGAAAATCTAAGAAGTTAGTCAAGTACTGGAATAAGTTTCCAAGGCAGGCTGAGGAATTCCCATTACTAGAAGATTTTCAGAACAGGTTAGATAAACACTTTGTCAGGGATGGTCTTGTATACTTGGTCACCTCATCACAGGGCAATGGATTGGATGACCTGCAGAAAGTACCTTCTACTCCTACATTTCCATGATTTATTCCATTAATATACATTTATCGTAGAATAAACAGAATAGAGTTACTCTATAATCAAAGCAATTAGCTAATGATTAGTGCAATATTCCTATACCTCAATGCATAATTTAAATCATGCAGTAGTGATGGATGTTTGTGGAAAATATATTTAAGAAAATTTTGCTTTTTGAGAGAGGCTACATTTATTTCAAAGATACTATTAAAAATATCTTAAGTAAGGCTGATCCTTCTTTAGTTTTTAAACATTAACAGGCTCAAGTGCCATGGAGCACTGCATACACACGGCGCTACCTGCGTCTCCCTGCGCCTGGCAGGCATATCTGTACCTCCCTGGCCACGGAGGTTAGAGCCAGGCCTGGC